TATTCAGATGTGTGCAACGCATTTTACGGAGGACGAGGACTGTTTCCTGGGAGAGTAGCCTACAATGCCAGTGTTCTGGTGAATTCAGTTCCCCTGTTTCTCCTTCGGTGCGCATGCTGACCCTATACAGTTTATGATGCTGACAAATAATGCTGACTCACAGCCTGTAAGTACGTTTTCATATTTAAAGAATTTGCCACTGATGATTCAAACGTGAGTTTTGAGCAGTGTAGACACAAATACAAATATGAGAGCTCTTGCCTTCTTATAATCACCACTGTAACTGACTGTTGGAAGTGCATCGGGAATTTTTAATAAATGTGAATGCTTTCATAGGGATTTCTTTCATTTATGGAGAACTGTAGAGTCAAACAAAGCCGATATGCAAATGCATATGTGCTTGCAGCATGAAATCAATCATTTTGAAAGTATAATGGAGAAAGTCTAATATAGATTAGCCAACCCACAGTAGAACCTCACAAAAGAACCTGCCAGAAGAACTAGAGAAGTGACTAACATTGTGAAAAACAGTCCCAAGGAAAATGTATGTTAAATGGTACACATGTCCTAAAGAACTGATATTCCTCTTAACTTATCAGCCCTCACATACTCTCAGATCTGTCAAAATACTATATACATACTACATTACTTCAAATCAAACCAGAGATGCATTGATTTTATGTCGTGCTGTACCAGCACGCGAAATTGCACCTTTCATCATTACTATAATATTGCAAGCAAAGAATATATACAGGCAACTGGAAAAAGACAAAAGTCAACAATTTTTGCAAAATCTGTGCTCCATTTTTGTTATTTATCTATTGATATTAAGTGGCTAAAATGAAAGGTGTGAAACAGACAATTCACTTACCATGCATTAAATGACTTACACTCCAGCATAATACTGGCTGGCCAAAGATCTGTGAAAACAAATATATATAGACATGAAAGAAGCAAAAACATCATTGGTTCATTTAAAGGGGTCATATGATGCGATTTCAAGTTTTCCTCTCTCTTTGGAGTGTTACAAGCTGTTCATGAATAGATAAGACCCCTAAAGTTGCAAAGACTAAAGTCTCAAACCCAAAGAGATATTCTTTATAAGAGATAAGACTGGTCCACGCCCTCCTAAAACGCCTCGTTTAAATTAGGGGTGGGAGAAAAAATCGATCCATCGATGCATCGCGATTCTCTCTCCAACGATTCTGGATCGAATCGGACAATTTCAGAATTGATTCTGAGCTTAGTTTTTAACCAGATGCGCGATGACGCTGAGTTTGCTTTAGAAACACCCATATTCTGATTGCTTCCAGTTCCTCACACACATACACCACTCGAACCTTCCGTAAAATAATCTTTCATAAAGTTCGGAAAGGTTGAAGCTAATTACAGGGACATTCACGGGCTTCACTGCACAGGATGCGTGCTTTGTTTGATGTTACACTTGAAGTGTGCAGTCTCGCCCGTCGATATTTTCCTTACAAATGCTCTATGAAGTCATCATTTATGTGCTTTGGAATGCAGTGGACTTATATATTTAAAATATGAACCTCACTTATTCTTAAAATGCATTCAAAATTCTGAATAACTTGTAATATATAATTATTCACGGTATTTAGAAGAGCCCACGATAACAATATCGTGCATATTCATTACCGTGATATATCGCATTACCGAATACCGGCACAAGTCTAGTGAAGACTGCTCGCGCATGCGGCTGTGTCTGACTCCCGTGTAAGTGGTTTAATGCACATGCGTCTCACGGTTATAAGGCTTCTCTGATGAGCCGCTTCTTCTTCTGCTTTTGCCGTGGTACTGCGGGTTACACCAGCAACATGCCCATGGACACTGCTGACTAGCGGTTAGCATGTGTACTGCACATTGATGTGGACAACGACACAGAAGTATAAATGAAAACTGACGCATAGCCTACGGCGTAGGTCCGATGCAGAAGTATAAATCAGCCTTAAGTGGTTTAATGCATTTGCGTCTCAAAATGGTTTTATGATGCAAAATTAATGTAAACACAGCCAGTTATGTCTTAAGGGATTAAACGAACAGGACCAACCACATTACATTACACAGATCTGTGCGTGAATGCAGCTTAATAGGTCTCCCGTTGTCTATGTCATAGTAAAAAACAACAGTAAAGATGAAGAAAAATCATTCACAGTTCTTGAATGGAAAACTTGCTACTTGCTTGTATGTTTTGAAGTTATATTAGTTTAAAATTCCTAAAATACAACTGTTTTAATTACATTTTTTTTTCAATTTTTAATTATTTTAAAAAGTACTTAATTACTTATGTAAGGATATGTAAATGTAAGGATTTTAAGATTCTCAAGTCGGTAAACTAATTAATTAATAAGGGGTGGGGGGAATGTAGATCAAGAATCGTTCTGGAATCGGATTGTGACTCCCAGAATCGGAATCGAATCGGATCGTGAGGTGACTTACGATTCCCACAAAATACACAAAATAATGTTCTTTTTAGCAACATCATATGACCCCTTTAAATGAGTTTGTTTGAAACAAGAACAAATATCTGCCAGTGGGCTATGAAAATGTGTTTTCCCTTTGAATTAAGTTGTTTTTTTTTCTTGGCCCATTGGCAGATATCTGTTCTTGTTTTAATCAAAATCGAATTTTGACCAATTTCTCAGCAACCAATGCTTCTTAGTTTGTCATTTTGCTTCTCGAGTAAATGTATCTTGATTTAAGAATCTTTAGACATTTGGACTGGAAAATAAGACAACAATACTGAGGAAGAGCATCACTTTTGCAGTGTGTGATCAGAAGCTACAGTAATTTCCATATTTGTGTGGTTGGATGCAGAGCTATTCAAGCATTAAGCTGTTCATATGGTCATTGTTTCATAACATCAGTTTTGTTTTAGTTCATTGGTATACTACTATTGTTTGTTTTAAAATTTAAAATTGCATTTTTCTTTTCATTTTAATTTTAAAGTTAGTAATTTTGTCATTTTTATTATTTTTAAACTACCGTATTGACCCGAATATAAGACGATGTTTTTTTCTTGGAAATACATCTGAAAAAACGCGGTCGTCTTATATTCAGGGTCTAGACTTTGACATGTCAATAATACACCCACAACAATAGGTGGCGCCAAATACGCATAAAACGAGTGTGCCATGAAATACGTAATGTAATGCGTGTTGTAAAGATCGCGAGTAAAAACAAAAGAAAAAGAAAAGCTTACAGCTGCATGAGTCGTGACTGTCACGTTAGCCTGATGGGACCAAACTCCCTTTGTGACTTTAAAACGCAAGACAGTACCCAGATTTGAAGACTACAGTAAGATTTATCTTCTACTGTTAATAAGATTTTGGTAGGCTACTATTAGATGGATAGCCTAAATGTCCTAATTCAGATGGGCTACCTGTTTTTTTTTTTTTTTAATGGTATATCAAAAAGTGTATATTTTTTAAATGTGATTGTTGGTACATTTTACCAGTTTTTGCTATACTTTCAAAACAAAAATTAGGAAAATAAATAGGAAATAGGAAAAATATGCAATATGAAAATAACTGAAGACAAAATGTGTTTTACTGAGAAAAAACAAGATTTGGTTTTAAAAAAGCCTTTTTCCAAAAGGTACATCTGGAAAAAGGGGGGTCGTCTTATAATCAGGGTCGTCTTATATTCGGGCTTATATTCGGGCCAATACGGTATATCAATTGTTTGTTTAAGTTTTAGTATATTTAGTTTTAATGATTTTAGTATTTCAACTTTAAATGAAAATGAGAAAGGTTACTTTGGCAACTAGCTGAAATAAAATGTAAAAGTTTAAGTTTTTTTATTTTTTATTTCATTTCAAATCGTGTTTATTTTATTTTAAGTAATTAAGTAATTATATTATTTATGGTTTTAGTTAATATTATAATAACCTTGTATAACATTTTAGTACATACATTTTATCAAAACATAATTTTGCTAATGGAGATAATGAAGTTTTTAGTTATTCTTATTTGAACATGCCATGTTCATATTTACACAGTGAAAATATCTGAAGATGCAGATGTAGAGGGTGATATTCTCTACCCAATAACCTGTGGGGACAGCAAAGCCAACCTCGTCTGGAAGAAGTTTGTGTGTCCGGGGATCAACATCAAATGTGTGCTGGTAAATATGTGATATAATCTGTTTTAAAACACTACAACATTGTTTAGACAGACTTCAATTTATATATTTGTTTTTCTCTTTTTGATTTAAAGGCTTGTTCTTAAATTAGGACAGTCAAGTCATTTCAGATAATCACTATTTATTATCATGTTCTGTTTTTAGTTAATGCATTCATTTCCTTTAGAAATTAAAAAAGTAAATAATGCTATTATTATGCTTATATTATTAAATTACGGTTATTATTATATTATGTTTGCAGCAGTGCTGATTACTCATCTTGCATTAAAACAACAGATTCCTCAAGCTGCATCAAAAAATGAAAATGCAAATCTGCAATTTTTTTAAAATTCTTAAAATTGTTATTACATATTATTATTTGCAAACAGCACTGATTACCCATTTTACGTAAAAACAACAGATTCTGTATTTCTAAAACAGCATCAAAATTGTGCAATCATATATTTTTTTTAAACTTAATAAAATATTTTAATGAGATAGTTTTGATTTATTAAGCCTGTTGTAGTCACTGCATAATATTATACATTCATTAGTGTTATTTCATGGTTTTGATGACCTTTCAGTTTTTCTAAAATGTGGTAAACCGTAATAATAAAAAATAAGCGGATGTGAATGATAATGTTTACTATCATATCTAAACCGTATCTCACTATAAACATTAAGAAAATTGTTCACTCATCATGAATAATTTCAGAAAAGATCTGTAAGTAAAGATTGTGAAGCTACTGCATTGTTTTGCTATATATGTGCTGCTCTGAGTAACGGACTGTCTGCATATCCTTGCCACATAGACAGTTTTATCTGTTCCTGAATGAATATAACCGCTTTCCATTTCCGGCGTCATAATGCTTCATATTCATCACTGCTGTGTTCCAGCTGAACGAGCATCTCATCAGTCCCAAGGAGTTTGTCTATATAGCGGGAAAGTCCACGCTGAAGGACTGGAAGAGAGCCATTCGCCTTAATGGGACCATGTTAAGGTTTGAGACAGAAAAAGAATATAAACTAGAAATGCATCCCAGCACTGGCAGTTTTATAATAGTTTTAGATTTCATTGTTTATCAAACTAAAAATGAAAACACTGAAGGTGCTGATCTTATTTTCTGACCTTTATCATTTATTATCATATATTATTACTTTTCGTGCAGTGCGTTATGATGAATACTGTTTGAGACTATTTTATAAATATGTATGTATATATGTGTGTGTGTGTGTGTGTGTGTGTGAAGCAGCACAACTGTTTTAAACATTGCTAATAATCAGAAATGTTTCTTGAGCTGCACATCAGCATATTAGAATGATTTCTGTGTGACACTGAAGACTGCAGTAACGATGCTGAAAATTCAGCTTTTCATCACAAAAATAAATTACATTTTAACATAATATTCACATAGAAAATAGTTATTTTGAGTTGTAATAATATTTTACAATTTTACTGTTTTTGATCTATTTTTGATCACATAAATACAGCCTTAGTGAGCAGAAGAGTCGTCTTTAAAAAAAATGTTTTTAAAAGTCTCCAAACATTTAAACAATAGTGTTTCTATGTTCCATAAATGCAAAGCAATTTCCAAGTGAAAATATGAAAACATTGTATTTTTCCTTTGGAATATAGAGCACTGAGGAATTGTTCATAATAAGATAAGTGAATAGTGGTATTTGGATATCATGTTGACTGTAGTTTCTTCAAGATGAATGCACTGTTTGGTTGTTTCTACAGGAAGATCATGGATTCAGGTGAGCTGGACTTCTATCAGCACTCCAGACTGTGTTCAAACACCTGCCGCAGTACCAAGATTGACCTGTTGGGGTCACGAGTGTCTTTCAGCAGCCAGCAGTCCACAGAAACGACTCCTGCGACCCCCGCCTCCGTGGACGGTATGAGTTCACAGAATTAATATGTTCAGATTATGCATGGGCTTTCACATGTGTGACCCTGGACCACAAAACCAGTCTTAAAGGTCCCATATTGTACACCTTTCTGGAGTTTTATTTTGGGTTTTGATGTCCTTAAGAATATATATTTGCGGTATAAGTACCAAAAACCATCTCTATATATATTTTTGCAGCTCCTCTCTCAGGAGCTCTGCTGAGAACAGGTCGATTTTGGCCTGTCTAATTAATATTCATGAGCCTCTCTTCTGATTGGCCTGTTGTTTTCTGAGTGACGCACGGCCAGGCCAGCCACAGGTAACTAGGGTCAGCCAACGTCACAGCGCTAGCTGGAGGCAGCAAAACAAAGGGCAAACTGGAGGCGGCCCATTCAAACCGGCACAGATTCGGCTACACAAGGAGCTTAAAATATCATCTTGTTGTGATGTTGGGTGCCAGAATCAACGTAATACAGCCTCAAATTAGAAATTTGATCGCATATCTGCTGCCACTGCCAGACAAAAAAACGACGACAGCTGTGGTTAAACGCGATAAAACGAGCAGACTGGACAGAAACGATCGTCAAAAATGCTC